TTAGTTTATTACATCAAGTAAACTAAGTGAAAATGAGAAATGTTGGCAACTAGCTGAACTCAAATAAGTTGAAATAAAGTCAACATTTATTTTAAAGTTATATACGCATTTAAAAAAAAAGTTTTTTCTTTTGTAAAAGTTAACCGTTTGCTATGTTACAATTAAAATAAACTTTCTTTCTGTAGATCCACCTTTAGCCATTTTTAAATAATTTACACCTGATCTGAGATGATCTAAGATGTATGAAAGTTTGTGCTTGCTCTTTGTGAAATCCTACGCAGGACACAAGCAAACTTTCCTGACTCTTGAGGGGGTGTGAACCAGGCACTAAAACACGCCTCTTTAAAAGGTGGGCGGGGTTATAAGTTTCCGCTTATAAAATGAGATTCCAACAGTGGGGTTGTAACAGAAGCAGAGCTTGACATCAGTTGTTGAGCAGTTCAACACATCCTTAACTGCACATAAAGAATCACAGCCAGGCATCTTGAAAATGCCATCAAATTTCCTCACGCCCTTCCTGGAGTTGGATGATGAATTCTGCAAGGTAAGAATATGAAGTTTGCTTTTTGAAACTCTCTGGAAATTGCTCATGCAATCTGCTCATGCACTTAAACAAGAATCAACTCAATTTAAAGGAATAGCTCACTCACAAAATGCAAACCCAGTCAATATTGTTCCAATTCTTTTTGACTTTCTTTCTTCTGTGGAACACAGAAAAGACTCTTAAGAATGTCAATTTTTGTACATACAATCCATGCCAATGTGGTGCAGATAACCTGTTGTTTTTGATCCCACTAATTTCAGAATACTTTTGTGTGAACTGTCCCTTTATGTTTTTACATGCCTTTCTAGAGTTGCTTTCTTGCTTCATTGAAACTTGTGCACCACGAAGCATACTGAGGTCTCTCTCTTTCTCCGTTCCCAGAGTTTCCGCGGTATTGATCTGACAGAAGCCACGCAGAAGCAGCGTGTGGTGGGATTCCAGCGCAGGCATTCCCTGTGCCCCGTGACTCTTCCCAACTCTAAATTCAACAGCAACGACACCAGCCCCTGGCCTCTTCCAGCCATCAACCAGCACTGGAGCCACGAGATGAAGCAGCAGCTGCCGCGTTCCTCCCTGAGCCAGATCCCCTTCAGAGTAGACCGGTCCGTGAGCATGATCGAGGGCCATGTGGCCTGCGAGAGCCCGACAGCCAGCCCTCTTCCGCCACCGCCTGGGTTTAGCATCAGCAACAGCTCCTTGACTTGCCCGAAGGTACTCGGCACGACCTCCACGGCGCCGATGTCCGCCCGCTACAAGACAGAGCTCTGCCGCACCTACGAGGAAAGCGGCACCTGCAAGTACGGACCCAAATGCCAGTTCGCTCACGGGATGGAGGAGCTGAGAGGCCTCAACAGACACCCGAAGTACAAGACCGAGCCGTGTCGCACCTTTCACACCATCGGCTTCTGCCCCTACGGCGCTCGGTGTCACTTCATACACAACGCAGACGAGCAGAACGGGCTTTCGGAGAACACAAAGAGCATCCGAGCGCGACCGCAGCTCCGCCAGAGCATCAGCTTCAGCGGCTTCTCCTCGCAACCACAAACCCTCAGCGGCTTCCGTGCCGTTCCGGATGCCCTGGCCTTCTCCAGATCTTCGTCAGTGTCCCCGCCGCCATCCACCGGGAGTCCCGACCTCCTGTCCCCTCTGTTCCCCGAGCCATGCTACACCTTCCATCTGCCTTCTAGAAAGAAAGAAAAATGCATACTTGACAGCTCTTTTAATTATTCAAGCTGAAAACACACACAGAGGACAAATGAGCAGATGACGGCTTTTGTGTGTTGCTTTGCTCATTGTTCCAGCATTCGTGCATGGAAGACTAAGAAACATCCCACTGTCACACACGGTCATGGACAATAGCCAAAGGTCTCGCTGCCTTTTATTGAGACAAGGCTGGGCAGTAAATGAATTGCAGGGGCATTTCTCACATCAGGGCTCCTTTGTGAGGCCACTCTCCTTTTCTTAACAACATCTGTATGCTAATGCAGTGGCAGAAGGGAGGAGTGATTTGCAAGTCTATTGCAGAGCGGTAGGTCTTCGGAGCAGTTTACCAGACACTGATGGCTCCACACATGCGGCTGGGAAGGCTGGGAAGGTGGGGTTATTCATCTGGACACCCCAAACACTTATGCTAAAACGCAGCTGAAGCTTGAGAGACCGTGAACATGGTTTCACGGTTTATGTCCCTAGTTCAGATCATCGCAGCCTGACAATCACTGCAGCCATTCTTCCATTTCAACGTCCAAATAGACTCCAATAGTGTTTGCTGTTTGTTGTTGTTGTTTTGTTTGTTACTCTCTATTCTCCAATTCAGTTAAAGGGCTTTCAAGGGCAACTCATGCCACAGATTTACTTTGGAGCTATTGCCACCTTCTGGTTAATATGAAAAAAAAAAAGCATCTGTATAAAGTTGATATTCCTTTTGAGCACAATTAAGGCAAGACACTACAGACAAAGGAATTGCTCAAATAAAATGAAAGATCCAAATAAGTGTCTGTTTTATTGTATTCATCTATTTGCATCTGTAGATTTCAACTACAATACATATATCTACATTATAAAGGGTTTTACTGAAGGCTTTGTTCATATATCATTCACCATTTTTATAACAATTTATTCCCAAAAAGTTTTATTTAATTTTATTAAATTTTATTTAATTTAATTTAATTATATTTTATTTTATTTTAATTTAATTTAATTTTATTATAATTTTTTTTTATTATTTTGTTTGTTTGTTTTGTTTTGTTTTGTTTTACTTTATTTTGGCTGCTGATAGTATTTATATTTGGATATTTATTTAGATAATGTCTCATTTGCATAGTTAAACAACATTTCAGAAAACGTGTAATACAAAACAAAATGTCTTAATGTACTGTGATTAGTCAACTGGGGAAAGTATAGTAATATATATTCATTAAAATCTTTAACTTATTTACCTGTTGTGTCTTGCCTCAATTATAAAAAGTTGAAGATGAATGAATGAATGAATGAACGTCCGTATTTGTACAAAAATATAGACAATTCATCAAAACAAATGGAGTAACAGCAGATACAAACATATTTAAAAAATAAATGTTTCCACAATACTTTGGACAATCTGCAGCCCTGTTGAATATGATGCAGTTCTCCTTTCCGACCACACAAGGTCAGCAGAACTTAAATCAGAGACAAACATCTCACATTTCTTCACTGGTTTGGCAAGCTGATGGTTAATGTCCTGCAAGATACTTGCCTTGTTCAAATACCTGCACTTGCGGTCTTTGCACTTGACCACTTGACTACTTATATGACGTATTTCCTGTATTTGGTCCAAGTGTTCAAGTGAGCATGAAGACCACAAGTGTGTGCAGAACTGATGGGACACACTATAGTGTTGTAAAAATGCAAGTGTTTACAGAGCTTTATTTTTTGCATTTTAAAATCAACTTCCAAATGTCTGTTCAGTAGTCCCTATGACAGCTGACACAATTTAATTTTGTGGTGCTTCTAATTAAGTGATAAAAGGCAGTTGTAAATGTTGTACAAAATAAATATCACCACTACTCATTTGCACCACTAAAACGTGCAACTCATAATATTCCTTTTGAGCACAATTAAGGCAAGACACTACAGACAAAGGAATTGCTCAAATAAAATGAAAGATCCAAATAAGTGTCTGTTTTATTGTATTCATCTATTTGCATCTGTAGATTTCAACTACAATACATATATCTACATTATAAAGGGTTTTACTGAAGGCTTTGTTCATATATCATTCACCATTTTTATAACAATTTATTCCCAAAAAGTTTTATTTAATTTTATTAAATTTTATTTAATTTAATTTAATTATATTTTATTTTATTTTAATTTAATTTAATTTTATTATAATTTTTTTTTATTATTTTGTTTGTTTGTTTTGTTTTGTTTTGTTTTACTTTATTTTGGCTGCTGATAGTATTTATATTTGGATATTTATTTAGATAATGTCTCATTTGCATAGTTAAACAACATTTCAGAAAACGTGTAATACAAAACAAAATGTCTTAATGTACTGTGATTAGTCAACTGGGGAAAGTATAGTAATATATATTCATTAAAATCTTTAACTTATTTGCCTGTTGTGTCTTGCCTCAATTATAAAAAGTTGAAGATGAATAAATGAATGAATGAACGTCCGTATTTGTACAAAAATATAGACAATTCATCAAAACAAATGGAGTAACAGCAGATACAAACATATTTAAAAAATAAATGTTTCCACAATACTTTGGACAATCTGCAGCCCTGTTGAATATGATGCAGTTCTCCTTTCCGACCACACAAGGTCAGCAGAACTTAAATCAGAGACAAACATCTCACATTTCTTCACTGGTTTGGCAAGCTGATGGTTAATGTCCTGCAAGATACTTGCCTTGTTCAAATACCTGCACTTGCGGTCTTTGCACTTGACCACTTGACTACTTATATGACGTATTTCCTGTATTTGGTCCAAGTGTTCAAGTGAGCATGAAGACCACAAGTGTGTGCAGAACTGATGGGACACACTATAGTGTTGTAAAAATGCAAGTGTTTACAGAGCTTTATTTTTTGCATTTTAAAATCAACTTCCAAATGTCTGTTCAGTAGTCCCTATGACAGCTGACACAATTTAATTTTGTGGTGCTTCTAATTAAGTGATAAAAGGCAGTTGTAAATGTTGTACAAAATAAATATCACCACTACTCATTTGCACCACTAAAACGTGCAACTCTTTGTTTTAGAACCAAATTATATGTAATGGCTAATTATTATTAATATGTCACATACATTGGAAAGGTTTCCGTGACCTCTCGCGAGATCTTGGCAAAAAAGTCTCACGATTTATTTACAAGATCTCAGGGATTTTAACATTTTAAAACAAATAGATTGTTTTAATTCTGAGATATTCTTTTTTTTTTCTTGCAAAACATACATTTTCAAAGCAGCTTCACCAAAAGTGGGACGTTTGGCGCTCTCTTTTTCATTGTCTTTTTTCCCTATCACATATTTTAGTAATCATCATAAATTATATATAATTTGAAAGCTTAAAACCTCAAAGTTCATCTTGTGAAAACCATTGTGTAACCATTTTTGGACATTGCGTTACCATGGAAACGGTACTTTAAAATCTTTTAGCGGTCTCCTCCTCCTTCGTCGGTGGTGTCGAGTGTCATATTACAAAATGTATTACGGTATTTTACAATCAAAACTTTGTATAATTGATTGTCTTCTTTAAAAAGAGTCCAACCTTAGGTCTGTATTCCAAAGCCATTCTGGACAGTCTGGACAGAGCATTTTAACGCCTATGTTCAAAAATGGAGGGTGACGGTTAAGAAGTTCATGTCTCCGGTGTACCTGCCAAAATCTGACATGAAAAACACTGAGAGAAACCACTGACAGAGGAGGAGCTTGTCCTGCTCTGGTACGGAAAACACGATTACATAAATATTAAAGTATTTGATATAGAAAAAAAATGTTTCTTCTGTAAAGGTAATGATGAAATCGGATGTATAATGATGTGCATTGTCCTTAAAATCTGTCTAAAAAGTTCTGGAGATGCAGGGTGTGGACATAGTGCTGAGATAAACATCTTAAATGTTAATGAACAGTTATTGGCAAGCAGCAGTGTTCTAACCACACTGTTTTGTCTAACATCTAGGCCTACATGTTACCCAGAAACAATGATATTGCACCATCGTGTCTCCCCAAACCTGTATGACTTTTCATCAAGAAGAATTTACATTTCTGAGTGAATTATTCCTTTAAATATCGTATCACAGTTTCATCAGAATATGTACATGATTGTAACAGCATATCATGATTTCAAAAGGGGCAACCATGATGAGTGCAGTCACATTTGTAACTGAAAACAAGTGTGCATAATTCTATTGAATCTGCACGTGTAGTGTACGTCATATCTTAAAAAGTATATACTAGCAGATAATATAATATTAATGAAATAAAAGGCCACTTAAGAAATAGTCATGTCTGTTTCTTAACAAACTTAAGTAGACTTTTAAAAAGGGCACTTTGTAATAATATAAAATTAAAAGTTTTAATAATCTTGTGTTGCACACTTATGTTGATGTGTTGACTAACATACTAAAACACATGTAAGTACTTGATTATAATTTATACTGTAGTATGTTATTTGATATTACATTTAAATTTAATACATTTTAATTGTACTTTGAAACTATAGTTACAATTATATATTTATATAGATTATATATAGGTTTTGATAGAAATTATATTAAAGTATATTTTAGTTTATCATGAATCCTTGTCAGTACATTCAGCAGTAACATTAACCATATTTTAAAGACAATAGAAGTGATAATGAAACTATATGTAAAAATGTACGTAAGTTCCACTTAAGTGGATCAAAAACAGTACATTTTCATTTAACGATAAATAACATGCAACTAAGTGTCTGAAAACAGTGCATACATGTTTTCTTGGATTATCATTAAGGACACCGACAGCAGCTGGTAAATTAGGCGCGGTCACTTTAAGACACAATGCATGGATCCAATATAATGACACACATCCGATTTCTTTCTCAACTGGCGAGGTGTATTTGTTTGTTCAAGCACAAGAAGATGCGTAAGAGAACTGGGTGTTTGTGCGCCGTCTGAGACGCAGCTCTCTCAGTTGAGTTCGTTTGTGTCTTCTTGTGCTTGGATGCTTTGAAAACTCGTGAATGTTTAAATTGGCAAGGCTTAAAAACACGTGCA